TTGCAACTCACAGGGTACAGAGAGCTTTTTATTTTATACTTAATATATTTGATCACTCCTCTGATATGCACGATTGACATTAGAACATGCTGTAAATGACTATTGTGAGCATTACATGGGCCAATGTGTATGCTAATCCTTGGTGTAGTAGGTGGTACTTAGAAACTATTCAGCGAATGGTTGATATTATCTTTTGTCTGTACCCATCACAATTCTGAAACTTCCTTGAATACAGAAATCTTTCTTCATTCACTAGTGAAGATATATGAGCTACTTGAGAGATGAAAGAGGAACGTCTAATAAGCATTTATTAGTAGAACACATCAGCATTGGATACCCTGTCCCAGTTTCAGGGCTTCTATGGTAGTCTCAGTACAGGATGCAGATACAAGGGTAATGCAATACAAAGCATAGTAGGATAACTGAGTCTACTAGTATTATGGGTGCCCAGAAGAATAAACACATTTTCTGTATCAAGAAAATGAATTTAATTGATAATAGTAATGAAAGGAATAGTAACACAATTAACAGGAGCAAATATTCATAAATAACTTACATTAGGCCAAGCATTGAAGTATGCTCTTACATGCATTATTGTATGCAATCATGAGAGCAAAATTCATCATGATTTTATCAGTGAAGAAATAGTGAAGCTAATGCTTCAACCAGCAGGTTAAGGTGCTGCCTACAATGCCAACGTTACCTATAGGAGTGCCGATTTGAGTCCCAGCTGCACTGCTTCTGATCCAGCTCCCTACTAATGTGTCTGGGAAGATATTTTGGTTCCCTGCCATCCACACGAGAAACCTGGATGGAGTTACTGGCTCCTGCCTTAGGGCTAGATCAGACTTGGCTACTGTGGTCATTTGTGGAGTGACTCAAAGGACAGGATTCTCTCTCTCTCTCTCTCTCTCTATATATATATATATATATGTGTATATATATATATACACAAATATATCAGTATAGATGTAAGTAAATAAATAAATAATTCTCTTTTTTAAAGGAAGTAGAAACCTCAATGCTAAAAAAAATGGCCATATGTCACACAGTCAGTGGCAGATTAGGCTGATATCCAAATCTTTCAACACGTGAGGTCAAAATTTATAACCATCATACTAAAATGTCAGAAATAATAAATGCCGTCATAATCTAGAGAGTTTAGTAAGTTCTTCTAAAATAGAGAAACGTTAATAAATGGATAAAATAGGAGCCTGAATATGCTATAATGAAAAATTATGAAAAACTTTAAAAAATTCTTCAAATGGAAATAGGAGAAGGAGGAGGAAAAAGGGTGAATGCATGGGCAGGAGGGAGGGTAAGATGGGAAGTATCACTATATTTCTGAATCAATATAAGGAAATACTTGAAGTTTGTCTACCTTAAATAAAATTTAAAAAGAAAAAATCTTCAGTGAAATACTATGCACTGACCCAGGCACACAATTTTGGAGTGTCCGTTTCCAATGAGTTTGTGATTTTCTTTGAGTCATTTTACAAGTTTATAACAGTAGAAGTTAAATTGTGGAAAACCAACAGTAATGAAAATAATTCTCATGTATGGACATGTAAATGTATGCTGTTTGGTTGAAGTTCATTTGCCTCTCTTTCTTAACTGTAGGAAAATCCAATTATAATTGTATTATGGATACTTTATCAATTGTGTTGAGCTGTGTGTGAAGGATTGGAGGGTGAAAACAGAAAACTGTTAGGGATATTTTAGAGTATGAGCCCTTACAAGAAAATTTCATTTATCCCCATAATATACTTCCTGCATACAAATGTTATAGTGAGCCTTTTTAGTACTACACAACCAGATCTTCAGTAAATGTCTGTTGAGTGAATTAGTCTCTACTTGAAACCAGCTTTGCAGCTATAAATATAGCATGTATTTATTTTTTCCATCTTCACATTTAAAATTCATGAATTATAATTATATTTTCTCTAAGCAGAGGCAAATATATAACAAATGCCTCCTTATTTATTGGATTTGAAATGGAAATGAAAATGCTGGTAGTGATTTGGGAATTCTAAACATCTAGGGAAAAAATGAAAACTCAACCACAGCCATAAAAGGTGACTTGTTTATCTCTGAGACCCAGTAATAATGTATCACTGTGTTACAGTAGTGTGGACTTCAGTATTTGCCTTGGGGTAAATCCTATAAGACTCACATAGGATCACCTTGTGAATGCCATCTGTGTCCGTTGCATCTACATTTAAATTGTGTTGTCAAATCTCTCTCAGGTTTGCCTGTGAAGTACCATAAAAAAGAATATATATATATATATATATATTTACTTTTCTCTGTTTGTTTTGAACAGTAAATATCAATCTAAAACATGATTCTTTTAAAATGAACAGAAAAAAATTAGAAGGGATCATCATTTGATTAATAGCTACTGAGTACCAAGCTTTTCAATAAGTTAATCAGAAACACTATCTATTTAGATTCTCATGGCCGGTGCCACGGCTCAATAGGCTAATCCTTCTCCTGCAGCGCCGGCACACTGGGTTCTAGTCCCGGGTGGGGCGCCGGATTCTGTCCCGGTTGCCCCTCTTCCAGGTCAGCTCTCTGCTATGGCCCGGGAGTGCAGTGGAGGATGGCCCAAGTCCTTGGGCCCTGCACCCACATGGGAGACCAGGAGAAGCACCTGGCTCCTGGCTTTGGATCAGTGCGATGCGCTGGCCGCAGTGCAGCGGCCATTGAAGGGTGAACCAATGGCAAAAGGAAGACCTTTCTCTGTCTCTCTCTCTCACTGTCCACTCTGCCTGTCAAAAAAAAAAAAAATAAATAAAATAAAATAAATAGATTCTCATAACACCCCTATACAACAGTCGGATTTCTACTCATTTGAGTAAAGAAATTTAAAGAATTTAAGAAATTCATTCTGAGCTAAGCATGCTAAAGGCAGTAGGAAATGAAAATATTATTTTTTCAAATCTATTATTCCAGATAGGAATTGAATGATAATAATGTTAATAAATTTAATTTAGCCCTTGATATATACACCCCCTGCTCTCTAATGAGACTCATGTAAACGCTTTATTAAGAAAATAAAATCAGAAGATAAATCTTTCTAAAAAACTATACATGCCCTCTGATTTTTTACAACCTAAGATGTAATAGAGCACATGGATGTGGGAGTCCACTAAATATTATTCAAGGGATTTTTGTAATTATAACATTTTATTAAATATAACAGTACATTCTTCCTCAGGGAAATTGTAGTTTACTCCTTAAAGGTATATAAGGGGTGGGGTGGGGGAAATTCAGCAGAAACAAAACAGAAAGAACTTTGAGATAGTTTTATACATTCCCATGTCTGAAAAATATAGTCTGAATTAAGAAGGTATGTCATTTTATTGATCAATAGAAATATTGTTATTGTAAACTCTGAAAAGATGGCCAGAAAATTTCTTGGGGAAAGCAATATTTCTCTCAGAAAAATAGAAAGCAAACCATTTTTATTGGAGAACTTGGAAACAAAGAATAAGAAGAGGCCAAGTGTAGGTAGCTGGAAGTTGTCCTAGACACTCTTTTCCATCATCAAAGAAGTGTGCTTGATTTACAAGTGGAATTTCCAGTAGGAATCTATAAAATAATTTTCCACCTTGTATTAGGTAGAGAATCTATAGCAATAAGAACTTAGCAAGAAGATATCTTGTAGTGTATTGTAGTGTATTGAAAATACACTACTGTCTTGTAGTGTATTGAAATCCTTTCACTAACGTCTTGTGATGCAAGAAGGGTGCCTATTAATTATATTCCTACACCATATGAGAGGATGGACTATATGGTGTTAGGAAATGATGTTAGTTACACTCCTTTGCCCAGAAGCTAATAGAATTTTGTTAGATTAGTGAGCCCAGAAGCTGGTAAGGTTTTGTCAGTAATTCTTTTGTTGTTGCCAGTATTGTCTGTAAGCATATATGTGATGCTGGGGCATAGCTAAATGAAGACCTTCAGAAAGGTATACCCTCTGCATTTGCTCTCCTTCTACCACTAATGTAGCTGTGGGCTCCTTATATGTTCACTCATCTGAACAAGAGTGAAGGCGGATACTCTGTGCTAACCTGCTGCTGCAAGAGTTAAGAGGTGAGAGTCTAATTAAGAGGTATGAGTCTGAAGTCAGCTCCGCAGTTGCTCTTTGGCCTGTCCATTCCAAATGTGATCTTCCTGAAGCTGAGCTACTGAGATTGAGTGGATTTTCACCATCCTTCCAGTCTGGAGATTCAAAGTTTCTGTACACTTTTAAGAGAATGAGCAATGACTGAGGTATCAGATACTTTTTGTATAGGAAGTATTTTTCCCAGAGGTCTTTCTTATCATTATCTGAGTAAAGAATAGAATTGCTAAGCTGTAACCTAATATTACCAATGTAGATAAATCAGATTTTGTTCACATCTTTATGAAGTGTTTGAACACTGTTGAGTAGAAAATCTACTTTGTGAATACCTATTTTTTGGCAATCCAGTTTTCTTTCTCAATCCCTCTCCCTCCTCTTCCTTCTCCTACTCCTCTCCCTTGTATTGGTCCTCCTACTTCTCCTCAGTTTTTTTTTTAAAGATTTTGTTTATTTATTAGAGAATCAGGGCTACAGAGAGAGAGAGAGAGGGAGTGACAGAAATATCTTTCCTCTCTGATTCACTCCCCAAATGACCACAACAGCTGGGGATGGTTGGATCTGAAACTAGGAGCCAGGAGCTTCTTGTGGGTTTCCCACATGGATGCAAGGGCCCGAACACTTGGGCCATCTTCCACTGCTTTCCCAGGCCATAGGCAGGGAGCTAGATCAGAAGAGAAGCAGCTGGAACAGGTATTTAGTGTGCATATTCGATGCTGGATCTATAGGCAGAGGTTTAACCTAGTTCACCACAGTGTGGGTCCCTCATCCTCAGCTTTTTTTTTTTTTTTTTTACTCCATATTTGTTGTAAGAACATTTGATATCATTACTTTTAGAGGTGATTATCTTCTTTTTGTTTTAAATCGTCAATAGGTTCACACATTCCCTTTTACCAGAAAATCAGTTACAACATGAAATGAAATAAACTAAATCCAACCACAAATTTACTTTCTACCTTATGGAATAAAGTTGCTTAAATGGAAAGGTAAGCATTGTTTGCAACTCATATTTTAATTTGTTTGATCTTGATCCCATGAGCTCCACATCCTTTGTTGGATTTGAGCTGTTTCACAACATTTTAAATGGTATAGAATTGCTAGCAGTGAGAAAAAAAAAAAAACAAACTTATGAACAAGCAAATAAGTTCTGTCAATTGACCTGTCTATCCAATTGCAGAAGAAATGAAGGTTGCAGCTACTTGCAAAATAATTTCATTATAAGCATTCCTGATATATGAATGGCTGTATGTTTTTAACATTTGTTTGAACTAGTTGTAATACCTATCTGATTCCTTTTGAGTAAAGTGTCAAATACAAGTTTTATGTTTGTGTATGTTTTAACTCTAGGATAGCCATGGTTTTATTGCTTTTAAAAACCCATAATTTAAGCAAAAGACAAATAATTTTAAAAAAATTTTAATTTGCTGCATTATGTTCTGAAATTAAGTATAGAATTACTAATTAGCTAAAAGTATGACAGCAATATATATTTTAAGAGTACTTAATAATATTGAATTTTTATTCAATGACCTCCTTTTATTTTTTTTATTTGACAGGTAGAGTTATAGACAGTGAGAGAGACAAGAGAGAAAGGTCTTCCTTCTGTTGGTTCACCCCCCAAATGGCTGGTACAGCTGGCACTGCACCGATCCGAAGCCAGAAATCAGGTGCCTCTTCCTGGTCTCCCAAGCGGGTGCAGGGGCCCAAGCACTTGGGCCATCCTCCACTGCCCTCCCGAGCCACAGCAGAGAGCTGGACCAGAAGAGGAGCAACCAAGACTAGAACCAGTGCCCATAAGGGATGCCAGTGCCGCAGGCGGAAGATTAACCAAGTGAGCCATGGCACCGGCCCCTATTTCTTTTTTCTTTTTTTTTAAAGAAAGATTTTATTTGAGGAATACACATTTCATAGGTACAGTTGTAGGAATATAGTTGTTCTTCTCCCCATACCCACTCTCCCACCCCCACTCCCGCCCCACATCCTACTCCCTCTCCCACCCCAATCTTCATTACAATTGTTTATAATTAACTTTATATACAGAAGGCCAACTCTATACTATGTAAAGATTTCCACAAATTGCACCCACACAGGAACACGAAGTATAAAGTAGTTTGAAAATAAGTTTTACAGGCCGGCACCACAGCTCACTAGGCTAATCCTCCACCTGCGGCATCGGCACACTGGGTTCTAGTCCCGGGTGGGGCGCCGGATTCTGTCCCAGTTGCCTCTCTTCCAGGCCAGCTCTCTGCTATGGCCAGGGAGTGCAGTGGAGGATGGCCCAAGTGCTTGGGCCCTGCACCCCATGGAAGACCAGGAGGAAGCACCTGGCTCCTGCCTTTGGATAGGCGTGGTGCGCCGGCCACAGCGTGCCGCCCGCGGCGGCCATTGGAGGGTGAACCAATGGAAGGAAGACCTTTCTCTCTGTCTCTCTCACTGTCCACTCTGCCTGTCAAAAAAAAAAAAAAAAAAAAAAAAAAGAAAGAAAGTTTTACAGTTAATTCTCGTACTACAACTCATTAAGGACATAGGTTCTACATGAGGAATAAGTACACAGTGACTTCTGTTGTTGATTTAACAATAGACACTCTTATTTATGACAGCAGTGGTCACCTGAGGCTCTTGACATCAGCTGCCAAGGCTATGGAAGCCTTTTGAGTCAGAGCCATAAGCAAAGTGGAAGTTCTTTCCTCTCTTCTGAGAAAAGTACATCATTATTTCACGGCCTCTTCTTTCCATTGTGGTCTCACAAAGATCCTTCATGTAGATCATTTTTTGGTCACAGTGTCTTGGCTTTCCATGCTTGAAATGTTGTCATGAGCTTTTCAGCCATATGCGAAAGCCTTAAGGGCTAATTCTGAGGTCAGAGTGCTATTAAGGGTGTTTGTCATCCTATGAGTTTGCTGTGTGTACTGCTTCCTATGTTGGAATATTCTCTCCTTTTTAATTCTATCAATTGTTATTAGCAGACACTTGATCTTATTTATATGATCCCTTTGACACTTAATCCTACATATATGATCAATTAAATACTTAATATGATCACTTTAATACATTAGATGGCATTAGTATTCCTCAGCTTAATGGCTTGCAGTCCCCTGGCAAGTTTTTAGCTTTACCCTTAGTGGTAGGTCCATTGGAATGTGCGCTGAACTGTACAGCTCCTTCCTCCTTTTTCCCACTCATATTTTTTACAGGAATCTATTTTCTGTTGGATTTATATACCTATAAATAATTCTATGTTAAGTAAAGAGTTGGACATAATAAAGAGTTCTATTTAATATAGTAGAAAAAGAAAATAATAAAATAAGTTAATAAACTCTTCCTTGACAGTTACGACCAGGGCTGTTCAAGTCATTGCTTCTCATAGTGTCATTTTCACTACAACAGGTTTCCAGGTGCTCTGTTAGTTGTCACAGATCAGGGAGAACATATGGTGTTTATATCTTTGGGACTGGCTTATTTCACTAAGTATGATGTTTTCCAGATTCATCCATTTTGTTGCAAGTGACCGGATTTTTTTTTTTACCACTGTGTAGTATTCCATAGAGTACATCTTATAATCTCTTTATCCAGTCTTCTGTTGATGGGCATTTAGGTTTATTCTATGTCTTAGCTATTATGAATTGAGCTGCAATATACATGGATAATATTCAGATAATTCTTTTTATTTGCTGATTTCAATTCCCTTGGGTAAATTCCAGGGAGTGGGATGGCTGGGTGGTTTGGTAGTACTATTTTTATTTAATCTATTGAATTCTTCGTTTCTAGTATTTCATTTTGATTTCTCTTTAGGACCTCAATTTCTTAGGAAAATTTTCATTCATATCATATATAATTTTCTTTAGTTTATGATTTTGCTTCTGATTGTTTTTGAGTAATCCAGTGATTAGATTTTTGAATTCCATTTCTAGCATTTCCTCAATCTCTTAATCTTCACATTTTGATGTTGAAATGAAGTGTTTCTTCAGAAGGCTCATAGTGTCTTCCTTGTTCTTGTTTTTTGAATTTTGCCTTTATTTTTCAGCATTTGTTATTTTTTTTTTTTTGGTCTGACGGCTTTTATCTTTGATCTGTGTCTCTGTGGCTTAGTGGGATGTCTATACTTTCAGTGACTACTAAGGTGTGTGCTGGATGTGGCTAGAGTGTTTTGTTCAGTATTCCTGAGTGGGGCGAGTTTGCAGTGCAAGCCCCCATTTGTCATGGCAGCTCTCCTCTGGATAACTGGATTGAGAGGAGTTGTCACCTCTGGTTGGTGCAACCAGCTCGTTTCTTCACAGCCAAGGAATACCCAAGTGCCATTCCCCAGTGTGATCAGCACTCATCCATGCTGCTTTATGAACTGCACATTCGATCTGTGGTATCTTTCCTTTGAGTATGGTTCCTTCTGCTATGAGCTGCTATAGGCAACTGAGGAGCTCAGAGAGTGTGGAAAAGTGCTCTGTGGTTGCCCAGAACCTACCCATACTCTGCCTCCTCTTATAGAGTCATTGTTTTCTCAGACTCAGCCTCCAGGGTTCTCCAGGTCATTGCTGTGAGTGGAGCCTCTCCACCCTGCTAGCTAGTCCTGGCTATAAGGAAACTAAGGTGTTCCCAGAGGCACTGTCTGTGTATAGTCTTCCCAACCATACATGGTGTCAGTGTGGAAGGTGGATTTTTCTCTATGGTTAGATCTGTGGATTGCAGGCATGCAAAGTACCTACCTGCTACAGCTCCACTCACTTCTCAATTGTGATGGGTGGGTAGGACAGTCCTGCAGATGGCACATACCCTCTGTAGTATTGGTTCCCCCTCCCCTCTCATTGCCTGGCAACTGGTGTAGTGGGGGCTTTCTTTCTGGGCTTCCTCTGAATTGCTGGGCAGAGGGCGACCCCAGTTGTTGCAGGGTGCACACACAGGGGCTGGGGCAGCTGCTACCTGCCTGTGTCCAAGAATGGCATCAGCTTTCCCCCTACTGGCCACAGGCCTCCTCTATAACAGGGAGTGGGGGTAGGGAGAGAGAGACAGGTTGCTCCCCACACTGCCTCTGGACGATTGGTCATTTGCTGCTATGGGGGGATCTGCATCTACGTGGAACTCCTAGAGCAGTTCACCAACCTCTCCATCCCATTGCATCAGAAGTGCAGTGGGCCCATGGAGTCCCTTCTCACCTGGCTTGATGGGACGGACAGGTCAGTGAGTCCTCTGTTGTGCTTTTGCTCTCTCAGCACCGGTACAGATCACCTCCACTGCTCTGGCAGGGTCTCCCACTGCAGCACTCCCACAGATTTATCCTGAGAGTACTCTCTCTCTCTTTTTTTAAATATTAATTTTGCCCCACAGAAATCACACTGTCCTGCCACTATTTCACCATCTTGGAAACACCCCCCCCCCACACACACACACACTCTATTCAGACTACCTTTGTATGAGACAGTGAGGAAGTTTTCTTTCCATGGAGTCAATATACATGAGAGTATTTCAAAAACAAAATTAAAAGATTAGGTTATTTTGCTGCAAAATAGTTAAATCCGTGCACACATGATTTGTTCCAAGTTTGTCCCGTTATCTTTTACTTCTTAGATTGATAGAAAACTGAGGTAGGGGGCCAGCATTGTGTTCAGCAGGTTAATGACATGTGAGTGCAGGCTGAAGTCCCAGCTGCTCCAGTTCCAATCCTATTTCCTGATAATATGCCTGGGAAAGCAACAGAAGAGGATCCACATGCTTGAGCCGCTGCCATCCACACGGGAGACTCAGAAGGAGTTCCAGGTTCCTGGTTTTGGCTTGGCTCAGCCCTGGTAATAGAGGCCATATGGGGAGTGTACTAAAGTATGGAAGATCTCTTTCATTTTCTTCTCTCTGTGTAATTCTGTTTCCAAATAAATAAATAGTTTAAAATTGAGGTTGTTGATTTTATTGCCAAATTGGCAGTTTCTTAGTAGTCATGTGAGGAATGCATTGTCAACATTAAATAGCTGCTCTCATATACTATCATTTAAATATAATATTTAGTACATATAAATGTTTACCTCCTAAATTTTTAAAATAAATCATATCATATATGTGTGTATATTTATATCAGTCACAGAGATATATTAAAATTAACTGCTGTAATTTAGATAAGAAAATAATATTTCAATACTGTCATTCTTTATGTTCTTTAGACAGTTGCAGTTGAACATTATGTAAATACTGCCCAGAAATTATTAAATCCATAAATAACATTTTATATTGATATAAAGTGTAGATAAATTGTAATACAGATGTGCATTATAAGCAGTAAATCTTGTTATAAAATATTACTGTGAAATAAAGGGGAGAGGGTTCCAAGACGGCAGAGTAAGAAGGGAGATTACTGCTG